GGCATAAAAAGTCATAAAAACGACATATTATATTATGGCATAAAAAGTCTTAAAAAGGTCATAGTATACTAAGGCACAAAAAAGACATAGTATAGTTAGGCATAAAAAGTCATAAAAACGACATAGTATAGTATGGCATAAAAAGTCATGAAAACGACATAGTATAGTATGGCATAAAAAATCATAAAAACGTCATAGTATGGTAAGGCATGAAAAGTCATAGTATGGTAAGGCATAAAAAGTCCTAAAAAGTCATAGTATAGTTATGCATAAAAAGTCATAAAAACGACATAGTATAGTATGGCATAAAATGTCATAAAAACATCATAGTACACTAGGGTATAAAAAGTCATAAAAACGACATAGTATAGTATGGCATAAAAAGTCATAAAAATGACATAGTATAGTATAGCATAAAAAATCATAAAAACGTCATAGTATACTAAGGCATAAAAACGTCATAGTATACTAAGGCATAAAAAGTCATAAAAAGTCATAGTATAGTAAGGCATAAAAAGTCATAAAAACGACATAGTATAGTATGGCATAAAAAGTCATAAAAACGACATATTATATTTTGGCATAAAAAGTCTTAAAAAGGTCATAGTATACTAAGGCATAAAAAAGAAATGGTATAGTTAGGCATAAAAAGTCATAAAAACGAAGTAGTATAGTATGGCATAAAAAGTCATAAAAATGACATAGTATAATATGGCATAAAATGTCATAAAAACGACATATTATATTATGGCATAAAAAGTCTTAAAAAGGTCATAGTATACTAAGGCACAAAAAAGACATGGTACAGTTAGGCGTAAAAAGTCATAAAAACGAAGTAGTATAGTAAGGCATAAAAAGTCATAAAAACGTCATAGTATACTAAGGCATAAAAAGTCATAAAAAGTCATAGTATAGTAAGGCATAAAAAGTCATAAAAACGTCATAGTATACTAAGGCATAAAAAGTCATAAAAAGTCATAGTATAGTAAGGCATAAAAAGTCATAAAAACGTCATAGTATACTAAGGCATAAAAAGTCATAAAAAGTCATAGTATAGTAAGGCATAAAAAGTCATAAAAACGTCATAGTATACTAAGGCATAAAAAGTCATAAAAAGTCATAGTATAGTAAGGCATAAAAAGTCATAAAAACGTCATAGTATACTAGGGCATAAAATCTGTTTAAAAACATCATAGTATACTAGGGCATAAAAAAGACATATTATAGTATGGCAAAAAAAGTCATTAAAACGTCATAGTATAGTATGGCATAAAAAGTCATAAAAACGTCCTAGTATAGTAAGGCATAAAATGTCTTAAAAATGTCATAGTATAGAAAGGCATAAAAAGTCTAAAAAACGACATAGTATGGCAAGGCATAAAAAAGACATAGTATAGTAAGGCATAAAATGTCTTAAAAATGTCATAGTATAGAAAGGCATAAAAAGTCTAAAAAACGACATAGTATGGCAAGGCATAAAAAAGACATAGTATAGTAAGGCATAAAAAGTGATAAAAACGGCATAGTATAATAAGTAATAAAAAAGTCATAAAAAAATCATAGTATAGCAAGACATAAAGAGTCATACTATGTTAAGTCATAAAAAGTCATAAAAACAAAAAAGTATAGTAAGGCATAAAAAGTAATAAAAACGTCCTAGTATAGTAAGGCATAAAAAGTCTTAAAAATGTCATAGGATAGTAAGGCATAAAAAGTCATAAAAACGTCATAGTATAGTAAGGCATAAACAGTCATAAAAACGTCATAGTATAGTAAGGCATAAACAGTCATAAAAACGTCATAGTATAGTAAGGCATAAACAGTCATAAAAACGTCATAGTATAGTAAGGCATAAACAGTCATAAAAACGTCATAGTATAGTAAGGCATAAACAGTCATAAAAACGTCATAGTATAGTAAGGCATAAACAGTCATAAAAACGTCATAGTATAGTAAGGCATAAAAAGTCATAAAAACGACATAGTATAGTATGGCATAAAATGTCATAAAAACATCATAGTACACTAGGGTATAAAAAGTCATAAAAACGACATAGTATAGTATGGCATAAAATGTCATAAAAACATCATAGTACACTAGGGTATAAAAAGTCATAAAAACGTCATAGTATAGTAAGGCATAAAAAGTCTCAAAAACATCATAGTATACCAAGGCATAAAAAAGACATAGTATACTAAGGCATGAAAAAGACATAATACAGCAAGGTGTAAAAATTCATAAAAACGTCATAGTAAAGTAAGGCATAAACCGTCATAAAAACGTCACAGTATACTAAGGCATAAAAAGTCCTAAAAACGTCATAGTATACTAAGGCATCAAAAGTCATAAAAAAATCATAGTATAGAAAGACATAAAAAGTCATACTATAGTAAGGCATAAAAAGTCACAAATACGTCACAGTATAGTAAGGCACAAAAAATCATAAAAACATCATAGCATACTAAGGCATAAAAAAGACAGTATAGTAAGGCACAAAACGTCATAGTATACTAATGCATAAAAAGTGATAAAAACGTTACAGTATACCTAGGCACAAAAAGTCATAGTACAGTAAGGCATAAAAAGTCATAAAAACATCATAGTATAGTAAGTCATAAAAAATCATAAAAACGTCATAGTATAGTAAGGCATAAAAAAGACATAATATAGCAAGGAATAAAAAGTCAAGAAAACATCATAGTATTATAATGCATAAAAAGTCATAAAAATGTCTTGTAAGGCATAAAAAGTCATAAAAACGTCATAGTATAGCAAGACATAAAAAGTCATAGAATAGTAAGGCATAAAAAATTATAAAAGCGTCACAGTATAGTAAGGCATAAAAAGTAATAAAAATGACATAGTATAGTAAGGCATAAAAAGTCATAAAAACGTCACAGTATAGTAAGGCGCAAAAAACGTTACCAAAACAACATAGTATATTATGTCATTAAAAATGTCATCATAGTATAGTAAGGCATAAAGAGCATCGTTAAAACATCATAGTATGCTAAGGCATAATAAAAATCATAAATATATAATAATATAGTAATGCCTACAAAAGAAACAGTATAGTAAGTCATACAAAAGTCATTGTATAGTAATGCATAAGAAGTCATAGTGTAGTAAGGCATAAAAATGTCACAGTATAGTAATGCCTAAAATGTCATTGTATAGTTAGGCATTAAAATGTCATGGTATAGTACAGCATAAAAACATCATAGTATATTAAAGCATTAAGAAGTCATAATATAGTAATGCATAATAAAAGTCATAGTATAGTAAGGTATTAAAACGTCTTGTATAATAAGGCTTTAATGTGGTTGTCAGGTTGTCAGTGTTGAGTTACAAAAAAAGTTACCCAAATTGTTGCCTCATTTCATTCACTTTATTTTCATGTACAGTATCACATATATGTATATACATACCACATACAGTAACTATGCAACACCACTTTTTTCAGCTCTCATCTCTGCATCAATTCAAAATCTAAACTGATGAGACTGATATTAAATTTGTTATTTAATATATTATTTGTTTGGAAATTCAATAAAGTAAGTTGGAGAAGAAAAACTGTCAGACAGCCCACCAATTCCAATTTAAGGTCTGTGGGGAGGCATTTCAAATGCTGTTTGAAACTCCAACAAGCATTTCATCTGAAGCATACTGACTTTATACACTTCCCCTGGGCAGCTTGATAATATGGGTAATATGGCATTATTATAAAGAAATAACAATAAGACAGACTCTATAACATCAGTAGTGATAATTTGGCAAGCTGACATGTACACATTTAAACAGAAATGCATACGTGTACTGTAACAGAGGGATAAACATAAGGGCTCTGCTTCCTGCCATCTCTCTCTTTTATGCTTACCTAATTTTCATAACTCATACCAGATGATACAGTGACAGCCATTATTTAAAGCATTTGTGCAAATTGAAAATGATCTGCTATATCAGGTTCAAAAAAATAAAATCTATAACACAAAGTCATCCACCGTGGGAAGAATTGTAACACTGTGGGTAATATAATAAAGATGATGGGTTGTTACATTAGCATAAAGTCTCATACAATCAAACACTGCACCAGGTTTCATCATATAGGAAAAAAGACAAGGCTGAGCATTTCTTGCTTCAACTTTTTCCATAATTCTCAGTGTCTCCATGTCGGCATCCGATGCAGTTCACTTGCAATAAAGTCTGAGGTTTCAACTTCAGTTTCCTCCCAGCCTACCAACATGTTGCAGATGTCACTTCAAACCATCTTCACTTACACTGATGATAACTGAGCTCAGAAGTATTTAGATAAGTGCCACAGATAACAGCATAACCAGATAAGAATCTATTCTTATTTCTCGTTTGTCACTATAACCATAAGCTCTATCACATGCAGTTATTTGTCAGCATCACATACTGTCACTTCAAAAATATGCTCATATGTTCAGCTTCACTTTCAGATCCCTCTCACACATTTTAATTCACAGCTGTTTTTCTCTTTTCATGACCATGCCAGTCTGGGCTAACTGTACAATTCATATCACATATGTGGAAGGAACTTATACAAATATGTGTGATAGCATAATAAAAAAAAATTAACATGACTGTCACATGGCAAGAAAGTTTACACTGACTTAAACATTCTCAAATTCATAAAATACAGAACAGTAAATCATCCAGCTGTGGCTGAAATGCAGCTCAGTACATTATGTTTAAATAACCCTGAATAACAATGAAAATTTAAAGTAATGTGAAGTTGTGGATATTTGTGATCCCAGATCACTTGTTTGCTCACTTAGGTCATACGTTAAATTGTTGTGGTTTCACAATGATGATTTGTTCCAATTGCAGTAGTTTTTCCTCCTTGTTCCACCTATACTGAGTTCACATTAAGTCAGATGTTCAGGCCCAGAGCTGATGAGTTTTGATCAGGTGCAGCAGAAGAAGTTTGGTTTCCTCCTGGGAGCATCCAAGCTGGGCAGCGACTGATAACGATTCTTTTCATCAAAGGTATCCTGCTCTCTTACTTGCCTGTGGAGAGAAAAGAAACACAATAGATTCACACTTAAGCATTTTTATAGTGTTGTTATATGCTTTCTTGCTGCCAATCACTTGTCCTCGTCAATCACCTGATCTTATTAGAGCCACAGTGACAGGTTTCAGCTGGGCAGAACTTACAGTTTACAGGTCTCGAGCAAAGTAAGGCTGGAGGAGAACTTATAAACATGTATATTTCTACTTTCTTTCCTGTTGTTGTGTGTTTCTGTTCCACATAGACAAACCTCATGCATCTTCCAGTGGATACCCACATATGCGCATGTGTCTTAGAATTTCCCCTACTAAGCTCATCCTTGACTAGAACTGGATTTGGACAGTTTATGATTTCGCTACATTCTTATCGATATGTTAAAGTTAAAAGTGTCCCCAGATATCCACTATCACCCATAACAGCAGCGAAACAATAACCTATTGCATAACACTGTGAGTGTCTTTATGACCCGAACTGTGGGAAAGTGAGTGAGGCCTAGAAAAACAAGATAACATTAGAAGTAAGATAAACTCCTTCACATACACCAGTCTGTCATCATATACGACACCTGTGCCCTGGAACAACCACAACTAAATGCAATGCAGCCATTAACTATTATTACACCTGTCCTCTGTGAGGTAAAACTCTAAAAGCTCCTCAGAAGATAATTTGCCTTGAAAACATTGGAAACATTGTTAAACATCAACTGCTGGTTTTGGTTTGTACATTCAGCTGACTGAAATAGTTGTCTCACCTGGCCAGGTGCAGCACAGCCTCAAGGATGTTGTCTCCATCTTTGGCGCTAGTTTCACAGAACAGAGTGTTGTATGTCTGTTGGGTAAAGACAGGAAATCATGAATCCTTAATCACAAATTAAGGGTTATGAGTTGGATTTATATTTGGCTTAAAAAAGAATAAGAGTAGGGTGTGGATATGTACCAGGTGTTACAAATGTTCAGTTATGTGGTCATTGAAATGTCTTTATGATTATAGCAAGATAAGTGGGTGTTTATTTGTAATTACCATGGCCAGTTTTTCTCCATAGCTGGTAGGAACGCAGTTGACTCCATCTTGTCTAAGATCACACTTATTACCCACGAGCATGATGGGAATATCCTCGTGCGATAAATCCTGCCATGTGACAAAAAAACAATCAAACAAAAAAAAAAAAGATTAAGTGAAAACAGCAGTTCATGAATATGATAAACTGCTGTATTGTACATATTCTGTAGGATGGTGATTATAGATTTTATGTACTGCATAAAGTAAAAAAAAAAAAACTATTAAAGACAAGAGCTATTGGTTTGACATTAAGCACCACAGTGTGTACACAGTGCAACACATACTGTACTGCATGCAAAAATTTTAACACGTCCACAACATGACGGCATTATATGCTTTACACCAACACTTACACATCTGCTGCATGTAAAAAGAGAGAAACAAGCAAGATGACTTAGTTTGATATTCACATTAACATGTGACAACACTTTTAACTCCACTAGTGTCTTATAATAAAACACATGCTGCCAAAACAAATTGGTATTACAGAAAGATGAATGAATATCACCTTCACTTTATTCTGCAGAAGTCTGTAATTCCTTTTGCTAACTACTGTAATACAGATGGTGTCAGCCAGTAATGTTTTTGTAGAGGAAAGTTGTGCATTACCTCAATCATGTCCACCCACTCTCTAACATTAAGGAAGCTCTTTTCACAGGTGACATCGTAAAGCAGCAACACTCCGTCCGCCCGGCGGAAATAAGACTTTGCAATACTGCGAAACCTGAGGATAAGTTCAAGATACACACAAACCTTTATTTTTTCAATTTAGTAAGAAGATTAATTGTTTGTTGTGATAGGATAAATACAATATGTCCACTTATGCCCTGTTGTGTGTGTATAATTAATTAATATAAAATTAATAAGCTTCATTTACATGTCTTAGAAACACATACCAGATAAAACAATACAATTTTAGCTTTACAAAGAAATCAATGAAAAATTGATCTCACTTTTCTGTTTGTAAATATCCACACATACACACACCCACACAAACACACACCTTTCCTGTCCTGCAGTGTCCCATAGTTGTAGTAAAACAGGCTCTCCATCTACGATTACTGTCTTCATCTGGAAATCCACTCCTGAACACACAAAGAAGTCACAATCAAACATGTCACATTACTAAACTGGTTAAAAAAATGGAGCTCGTTAGATTAACTAAAGATTATAAAAAGTTGGCTTTAATTCAACCAACTCACCCAGAGTAGCGCTGGAGTTGAGTTTGAATTCGTTCTTGCAGAAGCGCAACAGGAAGCTGGACTTTCCCACCGCAGCATCTCCAGCCAACACGATCCTGAAGGCCTTCTCTGATGTCATGTAGCCCAGGTCAATGCTCTTCTTGCGCTCCTTCTAGAGAGGGGACAGAGAGGCAGAATGAAGATAAGGGAGAGTGAGGCACTCATGCAGCACTGATAAGATAGATTACTGCATTCGTATTCTGGACATTTATTTCAAGTTAAATTCATCCAGTCCTTGACATTGACCACTTTACAATTGCTTCTTCTCTTATTCCTATCTCTCTTCATCATCAGCTCTATTCGGAGATGATGTGGGATTTATGTCTCACTGCAGGTCAAGAAAGGTTAAAAATGAAATAAAACAGACACTAAAGCCCCAGCAGCAGCAACAGCAGCAGCAGCAGCAGCAGTAGCCAGAGACTGAAATGTGCACCATTAGCAAAGAACATACGCATAAAGTTGTAAAGTCAGTCCCGAGGAAGGCGATGAAAGGATTAAAGGCAATGAAATCAATAAAAATCTTTATTTGTTGTAATGTGTTGTAATGTAAAATCCCCCACATCCCAAAATGTATTTCTAGTTCACTGCTGATTGGGGTTGACATTCATCCTGTCTTCATCCTCCTTCGCAAATTTCATGAAAATCTGACCATTAGTTCAAAATACATGTTGGAAATTTGGGCATGACAGTTGCAAAAGTTCAAGAAAATCAACTAAATCATAAAGAATGGTATCTATGAATAATAATGTCAAGTCTCACCATTAACTGTCAAGACCTTTTGCACTGGAGCTTGGAAATAACAGAAAAAAATAATTTCTCAACAATGCATGTGGCGTCTTCCTCCACTAGTCCTTCCTCAGTCAAGCTATGCCGGTATAACACATATCTTTTTTATCTGCCACTAGATAACCTTCAACTCTTTCTTTTCCTTCGTCTCTCTCTTACCTTCATAGTGCTGGCACTGAGGGGTTTTCGTTTTGTCGGGGTTGGTGTTGTGGTGACACTAATGGATTCAGACGGCTTCCAGTCCAAAACTGAGCTGCTGTCCGACCCAAACGCCGACTCACCATCCTGTGTCTCCGCTGGCTATGATATAGGCAAACATTAACATAACAGTAAAGCCAAAAATCTACTCAGACACAGAGCTCACATTATCACTCGGACTTCTTCGCAACATTCCAACCTTTAGAGTCGCCGTGGACATGAGCAAGTTGTTGAAAGCTAGAAACGAGAGCCCTGTTACACAAAAGAAGTTATTATCTGGGGGTAAAGACTCGCTTGACCATATAAAAGTATGTGCAGCTGTATGAAATATTCTTCATATGTTTGTTTTACTCCTCTAGCGGCAGGTGCTGATGGCATGGCAATGTTAGTCTGATGGTCGGTCAGTCAAACACTTTGGTCCTGGCAGAAATATCTAAACAACTATTGGACGAATAAGCAGAGATGTTAATAGTCCCCAGAGGATAAATCCTACTGACGATGGTGATACTCTGACTTTTCCCCTAGTGTCACGTTGAGGTTAAATTTTCTGGTTTTGAGTGAAACATTTCATCAGCAACTGGATGGATTGCCATGGAATGTCCCCTGATGTTTCATTTGGCGCCATCATCAAGTCAAAATTTCAATTTGTTTTTATTTATACCCAAACGCCTGCAAAACTAATTGCATTCCCCTCAGCCTCTATATATATGCCTATATATGTGCATGTACAGGCATGTCTATTTGTTTGACTTTCTAATTGTCTCACCTCAGTATCAGAATTTTCTCCCATCATGCTATCATTGTTGTCATCCTCCCTTTTTTTCTCCTCTTTCTCTTCTTCCTCTTCTTCTTCTTGACCTTTGACCTCCTGCTCGGAGTCGTAGCCTCCATGGGACCCCCTGAGTGTGGACAGGCCGCTGTCCATGTAGATCTCAGGCAGGCTGTCCTCCTCACACTCACTGCTGAGTCTGCGCCTCAGGCCTGGGTCACACATGGCCAGGGCCATGGTGTCACCGCTGGGCCGTTTGGTGAACAGAGGTAAATCGTCCATACCCTGGCAGAACCTGAGGAAGAGGTCAGGAAATAGTTTGTGAGATACTGTACAACACAAAGCCTCTATTGTCTATTTTTGGGGGAGATTTGTTTGACCAAATTACAAAAAAACAAACTGTCATACTGTAGTTTTGTTTTCATCATTACACACTCTTAATTCATTCACTTTAAAAGAAAAGACAATTGTTCCCCTTCAACTAAAGATGCAAAAACCTGCTTAACATACAGTAATCTGTAATAACTGGGTGGCTGCACATCCTATTTAACTTTATGAAGACAAAACCTTTGTCCAAAGAGTCATATGGTTCAGCTTGTGAGCTCTTCAGCTTGGACAGCACCTTAAATAAATATCTCACAGCATATTCAACATTTACTTTGCTGCTGTGTAAAGAGACAGTTGTGTGTTTTAGGAGGGAAAAAAAGCCTTAAATTCCAAGGAAAAGCATCTTGATTGAATCCCATTTGTACTGAAGGTGCAAGTGGCTCAAAACCCTGCAGCTGCTGAATAGTAAATCATCCTAAATCTAGTACTTAACATTAAACTTCTGCTCTTGGTGCAACTGAAAATAATACTTAAAACATAAATGTAAGTGCTTAGTAATCCAGACTCCATCCATTAGGAACAATTAAACTGATAATTAAGAAAATATAATAGTGTACCATAGTATATCACTTCACTACTTACATACTATGAATAGAGCAGTGATAGCCTCAACCACCTGCATTGTTTGTTGGTCTTACCTGTTCATGAAGGTGTATGGCGATCCGTGGCAGATGCTTTTACTTCTGCCTCTGTTCTTCATATCTGCTGGTGATTCACTGGTGCCAGACTGTAACACACAACCAGTAAAAATGAGTTTTCCATTGTTTCTGTTTGTGTTTGATAACACAGAGGCATACTCTCATTGTTTTGCTAAATATTGTCACACAAGATACAGTGTTCTGATAATACAACATTTTCGTTTGAAATGTTACTGTTTAACATCTGTCGGTCCCATGAATCGTTATCCAGTGTTTAAATTATATAAATAGGTTGAAGTCTACCACCCCAACTTCAGCCTCTTGTAATTGCAAAACTGAACTACGTTTTGAAGTTTGATTATTTATTTATTTATTTTTATTAACTGTGCAGCTTTACTCTTGTGATCCTCTCCAGAGTGGCCCTCAGGCCATCGTTGGTGTCATGGAGCTTCCTGTTGGCTGTCCTATCAACACACACAGAAAAATAAACAATATCATTACTTTGTATTCTGGAATCTGTTTCTTATGTGTCATTTCCTTTCATTTTTGAAATCTAAGTGTGCAGTAAGATATCTCTCCATCTCTATTAAAAAAACCTCAATAGCCAGTGTGTGTGTGTGTGTGTGTTACTGTCTAACTTACTGCAGAATGTCGATCTGACTCTCCAGGATGTCTCTCTCATCAGTGAAATGTTTCACGAGCTCCTCGTCTCTGCAGCAAAACACATTCATAAACACACTTATTCAATTTGAATATAAATATGAAATTAATGGCATCTGTTAATCAACTAAAGTCATGTCAATCTGAATCTGTAATAGTAAAGAATTGAGTGGCAAATTGTTGTTTTAGCCTCAATTCCTGCACAGAACGGAGCACAACACTACAAAAACACAGTTGGTCAGTGAATACAGTGATTAGGTTAAAATTTGTACGTTTGAACTGATGACTAACAAATGACACTTAAAACAGACACAGTTAAGAAATTGACTCAATATGGATCATTTTGTGCCACAAATCTCTGTCAGAGTCTTCGGTCAAAAGCTGAACTTTTAGTGAATAATTAGCCTTTATGAAAATATTTCTCAGAAAAGTGATAACTGCAGACAATAAGTATACTATATAGTCTTGGGAATATTGTAATGCTCCCTGTGTATCATTGTGGTTTAAAGAGTTGTTCCTGCGGTCCTACTGAAAAATGATGTATAACTTATAGAAACCCCCAGTTGAATTTTATCTAGTTTGGAGTAACCTGCAAGATCTCATGGAAACAGCTGATCCAGTTGCTGAAAGGATATATTGAAAAAAACTATATCAAATCCTTTGTTTGTTTAATATGAATTATTGTTAAAGGTAGAGTAAGCGTTTGTAATCTTATATAGTTTAAAAAAAAAAAAAAATCAAATTCAGTTAATATCTCCTCATATCTCCACCTGTCCGTTCTGTGTGTGTTTGTGCTGAAAAAAAATCTGGTGTTCCCACACAGCCCTGGTCCTCATGCACAGGACAAGGGAAAGAAAGATAAAAGAGGGGAGATGGGCGACAGGGGGCAATGGGAGCAGAAGAGGGTAAATCTGGCAGACACTAATGGAAAGCGCCAATTTAAGGATTAACAGGGGAAGGAGAGGGAGCTGTGTACCCCTCTGTCGCTGCCTACCTGTATGGAGATTTGAATGGAATTGATTGGGAGATTGCAGACATTCAACATTTATACTATCCAAACAAATAAATTCTGTAGTCTTTACTCTGCTGTGTTTATGACGCTGTTTGTGTGCATATCATTTGTTTGATGAGATTTTATATTATAAGGTTTATTTTGCTTCAGCTAGAGTATCCACTTCCACTCCATATAAGACGCTCTGGATTCCACCACAGTGTCGGTGCTTTGGAGATGCATGTATATGAATGTAAACCTGAGAACTGTTTTCCTATTTTTCATATCTGGTACAGCAATAGATTCACTTGGTTACGGAAAGACATTACACCTAATTTATGCATAACCCTAACAGAAAATGTCAACATAATGAGAAGGTCCTAGCAGGAGAAGTGTTAGCCTGCTGGTGGCTCTGTTGCTAAGTGACTCTTCTGAATACATTATTGTGTGTGTGAAGTTGCTCCAGGATATCCTGTTTCAGCTGTGACAAAACGAAAACATCCCGAGGGAATGAACGGGTCGGAGGGGGGCGTACTCTTTCTCTCAGGCATCTCTCTGTCTCTCTCAGTATGTCTCTGTCCCTGTGCAACAAAATCTCTCAACAGCCGGGTTGTTTGTTCAGGGCCCAGATTGATATACTTGACTCTTCTAAAACAAATGCATTTTAAATTAAAAATAGGTTTGAAATGTATGTAAATTTAAGCGTGGTGGAAAACACAGTGCAAATATTCATTATTCTTAAGTTCACATTCATCAAAAAACCTGCTCTACAACTTCATGTTTCCAGTAATTCTAGGTTTAAACTTTCAAAGGTTTCCGTGAAAGTGAAGTGTTGTGTGTTTGCGTGTGTAACGAGAGGGAGACGGTGTGTAGAGTGTGTGTCTCATGTAACAATCCTCTTTCCTTCTCCTTGTATGATCAGGAGAGACAGCTACGGAAAAATCAGACTAATAAAACATGAGGCTGAGGCCTGTTAGACAGCACTGCACCTTGCGGAAACTCGCAGCAGGATTTAAGATAAATCCAGTCAGATACCCCGAAAGTGATCTGAAAAATGATCTAAACAACATACACAAACATACACACATCAGCACACAGCATACTCGCAAGGAAGCAAAACCGAGCTTTAAGAAATTCACCGTTCAGAGTTGATGCTTTGATCGGTTATCTCCGTCTTCAGCAAGTCCATCTCACTATGTAGACAGGCAACTTTGGTCTGAGATCTCAACAGCTCCTGTTTTAACCGCTGGTTGTCCTGCAGAGAGAAAGTCAAGACGCAAGAGTGTTGAAGAGAAAAATGTGGGACGGTGTGAAGCTACAAGCAGAGACACCTTTAAGAAAAAAATGCTTCTGACACCTCAAACAAAACTTTGTTGCAGTGACAGCAACATGCAGATTCAGCCTCACCAGCGTTAGCTCATTGATCTTCTTCTTCAACGCCGGGCTCTCGTCTTTCACAGTGATCGTCTTGTACCTCTCTTCTATCTGATGGACAAGTTCACATGTTTTGGATTCAGGTCATTTGACTACACTTACAGCGATGCAACAAAATAACAAGACGCATAAAAACCAGTGTAGAGTCTGCATAAACATACCTGTGGATGTACAGATAACGTGCAGCCTCATTCTTACTACTGGATGATTCTCTTTATTTTACATTTAGTCTATGTTTTTAGTTGGTTGTGGATAATTTAAAGTGAAGAAATTTACTATTTTATGTTATTTCTGTTTTATGTTTAGCAGCTCCTCTGAACTTTAAGCTGTGGTGAAGGCTCGCAGTCATGGCAAGTGTTTAAGGGAGGATATCATACTGTCTATTATAGCTCAAATTTTTAAATATTTTTCACACTGGAACTACAACACAATAATACTTCCAAAAGCAGCTGAAAAAGAAACTGTTAAAACTATTTTCATTAATTTTTTTTTTACTCTTTTACTCTGGCTGCAGCCCCCACATCTCCCCTCCTTCCCACACTAATGCAGTTTCAATCTATGGAAACAAGTGAGGGTTATTGGCTCAGCTGACATTTGTGTTTTCATGAGGCCAAATAAATTAGCCTTGGTTGAACTTTTTGTGAATGCAGTCAGTGTTATTCATAAAGGACGTTTAGCACAACTGTGTTTTTTTTCTCCAAATGCGTACAGTATATTTAACTTAAGAGTCTTTTTTTTATATTGAAATAGGTCAAATAGGTCAAAAGTAAAACATGCATCACATCACTGTATTTTCTGAATTGCTTATTATTTAAGACTTTGAGCTGTTGCAATGTTTTTGCATATTTATTTCCAATAATATAATACAGATATAGGACAAAGAAAAATAAATGAAGTTAGAAAATGAAAAATTGGTTTTAACATGTGAATGAAATAACTGCCACACATATTTTGCTTATTATCTATAGAGTGTTCATGAAAACAAGTCATGGTGGTGGTGTGATGTTGATTCATTTAAGACAAATATAATAACAACAGGAGTCTGTATTGACCGACGGTGTTGATGGTATGTTACAGTCAAACTGGAGATCTGTCAAAGAGGGGAAAAATTTACCATCTGCATCTTCTGGATCTTACACTGAAGCTCACACACTTCAATTTCATAACTTCTTCGTAACTCGCTAAGTGCATCCTCTGTTCGCTTCTTCTCCTACAAAAACACATATACAAACACAAAAATATACATCAAATAATTAGTTGCAGTAAGATAACACATGTGATTTTATTTTATGAAAGTGTGTATATGTGTGTGTGTGTGTGTGTGTGTGTGCTCTCTCTATAGTTATGTCATGCCTGTGACAATCTGTGTTATTTCAGGACAGGTTTTGAAATATGGACGAAGGTAATTGATAAGTGTATCAGCAACTGTCTATTTGCAGCTTCCAAAAATAAATTCCTCTCTTGTAGGTGTCAGAACATGAGTGTGTGCACATTACAGTGTGACAGAATGCAGGCAGGTGCCCTCTAATTTTGTGTACTTTTCTTTGACAAAATAAACAGCAGCTCCTGAGTCAGTGGAGTACACTTACATAAGTTTATACACACACACACAAGCAGGCACAGTGATAAAACAAAGATAAGACAGAGTTTATGTTCCTGTGCAGATAGGTGTTAAAAAGCTCTGAGGAATCATCAGGACCAAGGATAAAATGAAAGGAATATAAATTAAAAAGTCAGTCAGTCCTTAAAGTTGTTCTCACTTTTCATGGAAAGCCAAACACTGTTATCAACTTTTATCATTATGCACACTACACTGTTTAATTTCTTTCACATGGATTCCTGGAAATAGAGAAAAATCAAACAGCTAAAAACAAAGGCTGCCATGGCAACAAAACTAACTTTAATTCAAATAGGGAAACTAATGTCCACTCCGTCCACCCATCCATTAGCTATTCTAATTATCCTTTTAAGGGTCACAGGGGGGGCTGGAGCCAATCCCAGCTGACAATGGGTGAGGGGCCGGGTTCACCGTGAACAGTTCGCCAGTCCATCACAGCACTGACATATAGAGAATAGAGACAAACAAACATTCACACTCACTTACACACCAACTGGCAATTTAGAGTCTCCAATTCCCCTGCACCTCTTTGGACTGTGGGAGGAAGCTGGAGCACCCGGAGCTCTTATGTTCTCTTACTGTAACACTTATGTTACAGTATTAAAATGTCAGCAATACTGTTGCCAGTGTTAGCAACACACAACAACATTCTGACCCGACAAAGACTCATCGAGACTGTCATCAAAACGTTGTCAGTTTAGATAAATTTGTTGTTTCAGCAACACAGAAAATTGCATAAATGGTCTGGCTCTGCAATTCCTTAATTTTACTTCTCTCATTTTGATCTTGAAAAACTGAGAATGGGACGACAACATGAACCCTTCATACACCTCACTGGATAACCAAGACAGCAGAACTACTCACCAGATCTGTTTATAAATATCTTTGAGCTAAGAAAAATGCTGTTGCACAGCCATACTCCTTTATAACTACACACTCACTATAGTTTACTGATACGCAAACAAAAAAAAACAACCTAGACCACATAACATTCAGGCTAACAATCAGGCTTTATACATGTGGCAAAATACTGTAGCTCATGTCTAAAAGCTGAATTCAACCCATCTTGGATTATAAAACATGCTCCAGCACCTCTACTGTTTTACATCTGAGATCCACAGAGTTGTGAAATCCAGCACATCAGCAGGCGTGTCTGAGTTTGGACCAGTAATCCGATATTGTATGTTTGTTTGACATGAGGGAAGAGCCGAACAAACGCACCCTGCTTATTGCTTTGCCTACACAAACTCCAAAGACAGAAACACATCATAGCAACCAGCCTGCAATATTAAAACAAAATCAAAAAAAGTCATGTATATGTGCACATCTGAATTTTCAGGGGGTCTTCTGTGTGTGAGTTTGTCCCACCTGCTCCCGTGTTTTTCTCTCTGCATTGTGAATGCGTTGGTCCATCTCTTCCTCCATCTCACTGAGCTGCATTGATGCCTGGTCCTGCGCTCTGAAAAACAACAACAGGATAATGTCACTGTACTCCAGAAACGTCCATCCATCCATCATCTACTGTGCACTGGCTTTTCCTGCACATGGTCAAATGGCAGAGTCGTCACAGTTACCTGGCCTACATGTTTTTGGACTGCAGGAGAAAATTTGAACATAACATAAAATATCCTCAATGCTGTTTAACATCAATGTCAATGATGGAAACCTTCCTTATTCATTACCATTAAAAGATGCAAAGGGCGTGTGTGTGTGTGTGTGTGTGTGTGTGTGTTTGCATGGGTGTGCTTCTCACCGTTTGATGGCGAGGGCCAGGTTCTCCATCTCTGAGTTTTGCTGTTTGATCTCTTTGGTGAAGTTCATGACGACTTTTTCAAACTGAGGAATCAGTCTGGGCTCAGTCAAGCTGATGTTCTGGTACAACGTTGCTGCTTGTTCATGCCTGCAAGAAAATCAGGATTTGACATCATCTTTTGAACTATAATACTGAAAAGTCAACTGTACTGTTTCCCACACAAACACTTGAGATTTAAAGAAGAATTCTGGTTATTTCTTTTACTTCAGGGTCTGAAACTAACAGCATTCAACTGTCAAGTGAAATGTCAGCTTTGTGGGAAGATTTGTCAATTGGTGGATGGTGGATAACAGGTGAAAGTCCTTGAAGCACACAGCACACTATGCTTTATTCACATCACCCAACGCTTTGCCTTGGGCACAAAACACAAAACATTAGGTGAGGTGAAAGAACATGGTGTGAAGATGTTCTGATTTTATTGGACCTTGATTGAAGCTCACACTGATCTGCACCTTCGTGTGTGTGTATTTTCAAGGTAAGAAATTCTCATGTCATTGAATCAAACCAGTTAAAACTGACTGAATTAGAATTACTCTGGCTATTGGATTGTGATTATTGTGATTACTTGAAGTTAAAAGGATTAAAGCCTTGGAGTATCATTATTGAAACAGACCAATGAAAATGCAGTACAACTTGAATAAAACCAAAAATTATAGACAAAATAAGAGCATGGTTTCCATTAATAGTGATTTGACGAGGGGACACATTTCTTCTGGTTGCCTGAAGAAAAAACACTTCAGAGAGTCTTTTCTCAAACTTCCAGCAGTTAATAACCTTAAATGATATTTGTTTTGGCGCCCAAAGATTATTTTTATTTTGATATTCCTTGTTGTTTTTGTTTCTCTGGAAGACAATATGCTGCATAAGTCACTCACTTTTATATGTACAAACAATCATTTGGTAATTTAGTCAAATACATTGAATTTTGATAAATATGCAAAAGCTTCCATTTTAATTTCCCAAATACAATTTGAAACAAACCAGAAGAACTGGTTGTTACTTTTGACACACTCTTGGTTTCACCTTGTCTGCCAGTGACACACCATGCAGTTTGTTTCTATCACATGAGGATGCGTCAGTGTGTAATTTAACCTCAATATGAAAAACTTAACCACACAGTTTATCCAGTGTACGCCGCCCTGAAGTCATTACAGTGACAGAGTGTCCTGCGTCACAGCACAAAGGTAAAAGTGGGTCATATAAGTGTGAGTGTTTGCCTTCTGACAGGACGGACGGGCTGTAATCCTGAGCATATAGACTCTGCTGCCGGTCTGTCAATAACTCACAGTGACACAGCTTGATGCAGTGTCATAGGCTGTGACACACAGACCGATCATAACAGAAACACACACAAACAAATCCAACATCAGACCAGCAAAGGTCAGAGATAAACAGACATAAACAGAAGCATTTAATAAGAAGTAGTTGACATAATCTAAAGCTGCTGAAAAGACCACTTTGCTGCCCTTTCTGCCCACGAACCCCAAAACCTAAAGTACTGAAATACTTTTACTGGACCCAAATAAAGCCTTTTTATGCAGTACCAGGCTTTCTGTTCTCTTTTTGCCCCCTGTGCTACCCTGGCTCTTTTTTCTGTTTGCCATTTGCATTTACTATACACAACTCCCCTGTATTCAAGCACAAACTGAAAGGTTGTCTCTGATCCGTTCAGGAGATGTTTATCATTTGCTGTTTGATGATGGAAAGTGCACTCAAACCATACTTTCATCTATCTGGCAGACAAATTAGAGACGTGTGCTATATTCAACAGACTTTCCGGAAACATCATTAGTTGAACATTTAAAAACAAATGTATGACAAAACCGAATGGGGAAAGCACTGAAAGTAACTTTCAAGTCATTTTGTGCAGAGGAATTTCAGTGCACAGCCTGATCCCTTATAATTTAAGTCACTGTCTCAGTCAGCTGAGAGCCTGAATAATATAAAACAAAATACACAACTCATTACTTTAGCCTTCATCATAATAAAATTATGAACTAATTGATTTTTTTGCTCTTGATGTCTCTTCCCCATAATAACACAAAATATTCTTTCTACCCCTGAAAAACAGACACTTGTCTGAAGTGAGTTGTGTACTACATTTTCTAAGTTGTCATCTGTCAGCTGACTGTTGCAGCAGTGACTCTAACTGTTTGAGCATAAGAGAATGTATTTAACAGACAGTACCACTGTGACAATCAATGTTCTGATGCTACGGCACAGCAGCGCGAGGACAAGTCCCATGCCAGGCCTGGGGCCACACACACACATGCACACATGCATACACACACATACACGCAAGCGCGCACACACACACACACACACACACACACACACACACTTGTTACCAGTTGAATTTTTGATACTACCAATTCCATAGGCTGAGTTTTTTGGTGCTGAGACCAAAACCAGGAACCAAGAACAAACAGCATGGTTTTCTACAGAACCCTATTTTCAAAACATTTGCACTTTCAAGACATGTGAGTGAAAAGCTGAATAAAATGAAATAATAAAAATGAAAAATGGAATGAATTAAAAAACATGATCATGAGTGAATTAGATAGATAGATTACATAGATCAGATGAATTAGAGATGGGCTTGGCTCATATAGCAAACACCAAGCTGTTTATGTGAGTTGCCTTGCCTTGCTTTATGGCTTTACAGTATCTATTCTACTTGTAATACTGACAGTCAGAAGGTCCTTTCATACAAAGATTCAGGAGGTTTCATGGGAGACCAACTTTAGCTCTCAACACATCACATAAAACATATTAACAAGTGTTGATACTCTGAGGAATAAAAACTCAGAACATTACAGTGGCTCACGTGTTCATGGAGAATCTAGAAACTTGAAAGACCTGACAGAGAAAACTCTGGCAGACCTAGTGTATATTAAAAACTTAAAGCACAGGACAAATTATGTTATCTGCTGCAGACAATAATTCAACATTTTTGTAGGCAAAGGTATGTTTGCAAATGGCAATAAGCAGTGGTAGGCTGACTATGTAGTTGTGCGTCTCTGTTTAAAAATAAATTATTTTTTCCCCTCTGAGCTTCGTTGTTCATAAAATCAATTTCTCATTGGTTTTCATTTCACATGGCACTTGTTTAGGGTGGAGAAACACAATGATGAAGGATAAACACCTTACAGTAATACTCCAATACTTCAGTGGAGCAGAGTCTATTACTGTAACATGATACTGTCCTCACAGATACTTAATGATTATTATACCGAAGTTATTATGTGAGTCAAGGGCTTGACATTGCCTGACAATGATTAACTGTAATGTTATTTCCTCTCCGCTAAGTCTCTCTACAGAAATGTGTGAGAAATGCCTTCTCTCATGTGTAGTGAAGCTGCTGACACACTGGTCTTTATACTTAGTAAAGTGAGCACTGAGTGACTTGCAGCTGGATGCAAAACACATATACAGTCTCTCTACATGGTGGGGAGTCGTTCAACATGATCATTTATTGAGTTTCATTGTGACTGAAAAATCATGTTGTTTTGAGTCTGAGAAAACTGAAGTTGAAAACTGATAAAAATTACTTATTGAGGTTTTTCCTTTAGACAGGGAAGGTTGCAATATCAATATATTTACTGATAAGATATTGTTGTTATCCTGATATGATTTCATCCATATCAGCCGGCTCTGGTATTTCGACTCTCTCTCAAACCCTAAAGATAACATTAATACCTAAAATTAAGAGAAACAAGAAGAGAATCCTGAATGACAAAACAGCATGATCCCATTAAGTGAATAGAAGCCATGGTTGTTGTTAAGGGTCTAAATTGGCTCCAGCTCTGATACAAATGACAAATACTGTTGTTGGCACAGGTACAGTTTTAAAATGATAAAGCTTTTTTTTTCTTTTGTTTTTTCTTTATCTCATCTCCTTTACTGGCACTGAGGAAATCAATGTAGGGGAAGATTTGCACCTATGGGCTACCTCCACACAAAAATTTAACAAAATGTTTACTTAATTGATAGATGTAGCCTATAGAATCTTATCAATAAAGATTATGTTTAGTTTCTGTTAGAACTGTTATTGTGAAAAGATATTTACCAGTGGAGATAAAAGGATTTTGATGCTTTCAACAGTTATTCTCCATATTAATCAGACATCTCTAAGTTTTAAATCTTTTAGATGTACAGGAATTCACTATTTTCATTACTGTTTCGTCTGTTTACTATATTCTTGATTAATGGTTTGGAAAATGGTGGAAATTGTCCACCACAGTTTACCAAAAGTGACTTGTTTTAAATCATCAACAGTCCAAATATATTGAGTTTACAATCATAAAACACAGAAGCAGAAAATACCCTCAGTTAAGAAGGACTAGCTATAGGACTAGCTCATGTTTAGCAGTTTTGTTTCAGCTTTTGATCACCTGCTGGTATCACATTCACAGAGGCCTATGACTTAGAAACGTGACACATTTCTGCTATTCACCCTCACATGCTGTGGAGTCAACATGAAAACCTGTCTTTGGGGTATAAATAAAAACAGACACTGAGGACAAATACATTTACAAGACTCACAGATCATTTTCATTCTCTGTTATTCAAAGCAGCAAAGTTTGAAATGTGATCTCTACTCCAACTTTCCCACAGCTTAGCTACTGTTCTCATGAATTTCTCATTTCCTTTAGAGCCGTCTCTGGTAACAGGCTGTATAATGTGTGAATTTCCCTGCGGAGATCATTAACATCACTATCATCTATACGCACACTGTGCTCACTGTTGGACACATTCATATCACCTGAGGATTTCCATATATTAAACACATCCACCTATTGATAGGCTACAACTTTACTGGCTGCACAGCCAGCGGACAGGTGTGAACCCTCACCTGGGGATGAACTTGGACTGGTCGCCCATTCTCCCCTCGAAGTCCTCCCAGGCGGCGGACACGTCTCCTCCTTCCAACTCCATGTCCTCTCCGTAGCGGTCGTGGAAGCCGCTGATGAACTCCAGCAGAGTGACGGTTCCGTCTTTGTCGACGTCCAGCCGGTCAAATATACGGTCCGCCTCGGCCGCGGGCACCTGCAGCTCCGCACAGATGGTGAGGAACTCGTTCCTCTCGATCCGCCCGGAGTTGTCCACGTCGTAGGTCTTAAAGAGGGTGCGCAGCCGGTCCTGCTCCTCTGCGCTCATGCCCCTGATTGACGGATGAGACCGGCTAAGAAGAACAAAAAACAAAAAAAACAAAAAGGCGTTTCAGTAAGATGACCACCGAGAGGCCGACACGCAGAACTGCCAGTGTTTTGTTCCCTGGACACCGGAAAACCACAAAGTATGACTAACTCCTAACTTGTCCGCACTTATCCAAACGCTGTTTGGCTTTATCTTACAAAAATCTGATCAAGTTCATCCATTTTAAACGATTTCAGTGCTCAGGAGATCGAATGGACTCCTCTGCTCCTCTGTTGTCTTCACTAAATAATTGTGGCTTGGCTTGTGGCAGCCAGTGTTAGAGGGACAGAACAGCTGCTGCGTCTGACTCAGGTAACGCGCCAAGCATCACCTGTGTGTGTGTGTGTGTGTGTGTGTGTGTGTGTGTATGTGTGTATTCACTCTTCTCTCTCTCTCTCTCTCTCTCTCTCTCTCTCTCTCTTTCCTTAACCACAAAGGTTTGGGCTTCAGGCCAAATGAAAGTGCTTTCATTGTGGGGAGAGGATGATAGTCTGTGATGGCCTGAATGAACTTTATGAATCAAAGATCTTCAACCTGTGTAATCTTTCAACCTGTAGTATGCAGGAGACATCTTATACACACATGTACACACACCACAATGTTGCACTGCATGCAATTTACATCATTAGTTATAACAGTACAATGACATTAGAAGTTGTTTTAACTTATTTACTGTCTCTATCCAAAACATAATCTGTCTCTATAAACATATACACTGTGGATTCTGTTTAAACCAAAGCTCCTGTTTTAAAATTGGCACTGACCCATTTCCTGTAACTTCGAGGCATCACTTTACTTGTATTTACAACAAAAGAAAGAAAGATCTTGAATTTGATATTTATGAGTTTTTACTCTATTACAGGACTCTCTCCCAGACCTTTGTTTTTAACAGGTGTTAGCATCATGTGGCTATGCAGGCCCAGATTAAACCACTACTAGAAAACACTGTAGGCCTCTATTCAATCTGTTGTCTCCTCTAATTAATAGTCTACAATGATGACATGCAGATTTATTTAAGAATAAATCTAATGCAATTGCAATATCAGCTGATGTTGCATCTAGTTCTGTCATGATATCAGATTTTCACTATACAATAATTGTGGGCAAAAGAATTCATAATAACAATATTGTTGCAATATTTATAGAAAAAAGTGCTATGTCAAACTCATCAATAACTTTATTAATTGTGTGTTTTGTCTCTTTTTGGTAAATGACTTAGACTGAGATACAAGTGTCAGTGGAGGGGGAGAGAGTCTGTAACCATAACTGTACAAAAGTGTACAAAATGAACGAATACACTTAATGGATGGTGAAAAGACAACCGGATGAAACAAAACAAGGCCTAACTATATTATGTTGTGTGTTATTAACACAATTAACACAATATTAATATTAATATTCAATTTTTTAAATATTATATCAAATACTAACAACACAATGGAAGTGTTTCCAGGGGAGACAAAAAGTGATAAACCTGGCTGGGACTTGGGACTGGCTGGGCTTGTTGTCAATGATTTGGGACTTTTGAAATTAAAAGCATTGAACAACAAGAGTTCATGGATGTATTACAATACATGTATTATAATATTATAATACATCCATGCAAGTGCGTCCCAGCTGGGTTCATCAGTTTTTTGTGTCCCATGGAAACACTTCCGTTGTGTTTTTGGTTGTGTTGTATTTGCATCACATGCGTCGTCAAATTGATGAAGATGTTCTGAATTTGTTTGTGTTTTGAATGTTTGCATGTGTTTTCTTAAGTTGCAGTGTTGAGCTCTCAGGGCCACCGTAGAAGGCAGGTTCTATTTCTATACAGGTAGCCAAGATTCATTGGCAGCTTTCTTTTTAAACAGATTGTTGATGTGAACTTTAAAAGTAAATTCATCATTGATCTAGATGCCCAAATATTTATAATGCAGGACTCTTTCAGTTTCGTTACCAAGTAAAGTGCTCATCTGAAATTTTCAAAAAAGCTAAATTTAAAGTCAGTGTTTAAAGTTTAAAATCAGTGAGTGCCTCTTGAAAAGCATTAAAATAAAGCTGTAGATTGTCAATGGCCAATTGTATAGAATCTGCCCAACAATATAAAATCATGTCATCTGCATACAGATGAGCATTACAGTTGTTTAATGATCAGACAATATTATTGATATAAATTGTGAATAGGACTATCCGTAAGTGATAAGTGATACGTTGTACATTGCAGAGTACATCCCCTATAATTTACTAGGCTCTGCACTTAGTGTATGTTTAAAATAGCACAAATGACTATCCATCTCTCACCCAGTTATAACCTGCTCCTCGTTTTTTGAAAATCCTTCAGTCGAGGACTGCTTGTCCTCTCCGTAGCGATCATGGAAGCCGCTGATGAACTCATGCAGGGTGACAGTTCCATCGTTGTCGATGTCCAGCCGGTCAAATATACGGTTACCCTCTGCTGCGGGCACCTGCAGCTCTGCACAGATGGTGAGAAACTCTTCCCTCTCGATCCGCCCGGAGTTGTCCGTGTCGTAGGCCTGAAAGAGGGCGCGCAGCCGGTTCCGCTCCTCTGTGCTCATAGTCCTGGTTGAGGGAGGTGGCTGGCTGAACGACAAAACCCAGAACTGTCAATGTTTTACTCTCTGGATAAACCATAAGGTAGCCTATAGCTAACTCCTATGTCCAGACTTGTCAGACTTATTCAAACATTTTGCATGCTGTTGACATATATAAATGAATTAGACTCAAATACAAATGGAGGAGGAGAGAGAATCTGTAACCATAACTCTACAAAAGTGAACAAAAAACAAGATGTAACAGTTAGTTAAAATACTGCCTCAAGGTACATGTGGCCCCTTTTCTTCTGAGTCTATATTAAATTACTTAATTAAATTATCAAACTATTCACTCCTGGGTAATCTTGGGTAGTTGTTTGGCTGGTTATCCAGCTTTGTAAAAAGGTAACAACAATTGTAATTGATTAAGGCTGCATTCAGAACATCAGCGGCCCTGCGTGAAAAAATACAGGGTCATCCAGCAAAAAGTGGCTCAACATAATGTGTCAAGGTGCTCATCACATCCATACAAGTGGACATTCCTGATGGATTACATTGTAATGTGAGTGCCATGTTTCTGCAGTTTCGTTGATATAAGATAAAATAGTTGCTGCCATGATCATGTCCCCCCTTTTCTGTGTGTCAGCATCTGATAGGCTACACCTTTAAACACATTAATCTGCCTCTCTAACTGGATTTTCTAGATTATTTTTCGTTGTCTCACACTGTTATTTAAACAAGCCATAGACTGTAAATAAAGATGGATGTAGCCTCTGTGATGCCTGACTCCGCCTAACTCCCCGCTAATCCAAAAATTGGCAAAGAGAAAAATATGGAAATGAAACTAAGTTGAATGATTTTAACTTATAAAGGAAAGATAAACAAGATTGTTGATGCTGTCCTGCTGACCTTTATTTCACTTTAATTCAACATGGATCCTTTTTTATTAGTTGCTTTGTCTGTCATTTTATAATGATTGATAAAAAAATTGTGGGGTGGGGGCGTGTGAACTTTTTGTGGCTTCTGAAGGGGGACATGGCAGAAAAAGTTTGAAAATTACTGGGTTAAGGTAATGTTTATACATAATGTATGATGTTTAGATAAATGACTTTGGTCACAATAAGTTTAATGATTAATTTCAGAATTCCTGTCATATCAAATAGAACAATTCCCTGCTTAGTCTACACTGTACATCCTCTATAATTGACCAGGCTCTGCACTTACATGTATGTTTAAAATAGCACATATGACTGTTCATCTCTCACCTGGATATGACCTGCTCCTTGTTTTTTGAGGACTGTTTGTCCTTTGCCTCAGTGTCATCTTCTTCCTCCTCGTGTCGTTCTTGGAAGCCGCTGATAAACTCCTCTAAGGTCACAGTGCCGTCTTTGTCAATATCCAGGCGGTTGAATATTCCCTCTGCTTCTTGGGCCGGGACATTGAGCTCCTGGCAAATAGTAGTGAATTCATGTTTTTCAATCCGGCCTGAATTATCCACATCGTAGGTGTGAAATAGCGCACTCAGGCGCTTTTGTTCTTCCTTATTCATGCCCTTTGCTGATGCCAT